TCCTGGATAATAGCATGTCTATATCCCGTGTTGCCTGATTAATATGACTGTGTGTTGTCTGATTAATATGACTGCAGCCTGTGTTGCCTGATTAATATGACTGTAACCTGTGTTGCCTGAGTAATATGACTAACCTATGTTGCCTGAGTAATATGACTAACCTGTGTTGCATGAGTAATATGACTAACGTGTGTTGCCTGAGTAATATGACTAACGTGTGTTGCCTGAGTAATATGACTAACCTGTCTTGCATGAGTAATATGACTAACGTGTATTGCCTGAGTAATATGACTAACGTGTGTTGCCTGAGTAATATGACTAACGTGTGTTGCCTGAGTAATATGACTAACGTGTGTTGCCTGAGTAATATGACTAACCTGTGTTGCCTGAGTAATATGACTAACCTGTGTTGCCTGAGTAATATGACTAACCTGTGTTGCCTAAGTAATATGACTAACGTGTGTTGCCTGAGTAATATGACTAACGTGTGTTGCCTGAGTAATATGACTAACGTGTGTTGCTTGAGTAATATGACTAACCTGTGTTGCCTGAGTAATATGACTAACCTGTGTTGCCTGAGTAATATGACTAACCTGTGTTGCCTGAGTAATATGACTAACGTGTGTTGCCTGAGTAATATGACTAACCTGTGTTGCCTGAGTAATATGACTAACGTGTGTTGCCTATATAAAGACATGACTCTAACCTGTCTTGCCTGTATAACATTACTGCAACCTGTATTTCCTGGATAATATGACTGTAATCTGTTTTGTCTTTATAATGACATGACTAATAGGTGTCGCTTCAATAAAGTCATATACAGAGAGAGAGAGAGAGAGAGAGAGAGAGAGAGAGAGAGAGAGAGAGAGAGAGAGAGAGAGAAGAGAGGAGAGAGAGAGAGAGAGAGAGAGAGAGAGAGAGAGAGAGAGAGAGAGAAAGAGAGAGAGAGAGAGTACAAACGCACCTCTGAATCTGCATGTACACTGAGCGAAACATCAACTGAACAGCTGCTGAAGAAAGGGGTACCTTTAGTGAATTTCAAGGACGATGTAGAGGTGTGGTCAGGTCGTCCGTGGACTTCACAGCACCAGTACGACATCCACATCTGATAAAGTACGTCAAAATGCTAGAGAAAGTACAAATGTTTTAGACGAGACTGGTGACAGAGGTAAAGTACATGTCTTTAGAGTTACACCTGTTAATATTACAAGACATGAGGATCAGAACTGACATGAAATATGCTGCTGACAGCTGGAATGGCCAGACAACCACTTTCCTTGCTGGACGACATAAACCCTACCATATTTATCAGAAGTCATCCTCCAACAACCACTTTCTAGCCCGGAGCGGCACAACGCAGCATACGTGAATGTGACCCAGGTATACCGCTGTCAAACATCTCTAAACGTTACCGTTATACCATGTTTTACGTGAATATCTAGATCTTGAAACTTGTCCACCACCTCTGTTGTAATAACAGCTTAATGAAGACTCTATTCACTCCAAATCACTGAACGGGTGGGGTTTGAACCCATGGCAGGAGAACACTAAAACTCAGAGGCCAGTGCGCTAACTACTCGGCCAGCTGGCTCCATTTATGGACATACGTGTCTAGGTTTATCTGACGTAAGAGAAAATTCACAGACTCTTGGCGTAATTTCTCTGGAACTGCTGGACACATCCACAGTGTTGACACGACTCGTGCATCCCTGAGTTCTAGTGACCCGCCAAGCTTGAATCACCAGTGGTTGATGTGTATCCCTGAGTCCTAGTGACCCACCAAGCTTGGATCACCAGTGGTTGATGTGTATCCCTGAGTCCTAGTGACCCACCAAGCTTGGATCACCAGTGGTTGATGTGTATCCCTGAGTCCTAGTGACCCACCAAGCTTGAATCACCAGTGGTTGATGTGTATCCCTGAGTCCTAGTGACACACCAAGCTTGGATCACCAGTGGTTGATGTGTATCCCTGAGTCCTAGTGACCCACCAAGCTTGGATCACCAGTGGTTGATGTGTATCCCTGAGTCCTAGTGACCCACCAAGCTTGGATCACCAGTGGTTGATGTGTATCCCTGAGTTCTAGTGACCCGCCAACCAAACTTGAATCACCAGTAGTTGATGTGTATCCCTGAGTCCTAGTGACCCACCAAGCTTGAATCACCAGTGGTTGGTGTGTATCCCTGAGTCCTAGTGACCCGCCAAACTTGAATCACCAGTAGTTGATGTGTATCCCTGAGTCCTAGTGACCCACCAAGCTTGAATCACCAGTGGTTGGTGTGTATCCCTGAGCCCTAGTGACCCGCCAAGCTTGGATCACTAGTGGTTGGTGTGTATCCCTGAGTTCTAGTGACCCACCAAGCTTGAATCACCAGTGGTTGATGTACATCCCTGAGTCCTAGTGACCCACCAAGCTTGGATCACCAGTGGTTGATGTGTATCCCTGAGCTCTAGTGACCCACCAAGCTTGAATCACCAGTGGTTGGTGTGTATCCCTGAGTC